CCTCCACGTTCCTCCCCTGAAAATCATTTGATCCTTCTCCAAATCTTCCGACCCCCCTGGTGATAAATAATGATTGGTCCTGTCCCTAAGTATAGTCAGGAGTGGAAATAACTGGGAATGATAATAAAATAGCATCATACCAAGAGCAACATGGTGCCGAAGCAGCAAGTATTTTCTTTAGGTCTGAAACTTGACGGTATTCGTGGAATTACTTTAATTCAAGATCTCGGACTGACTCAAGATCCCTTCAGTGATGATTAATGACAAATATTCTCACGTCATCTTTTCTAGTTCTTCAAAAAACACTTATCTTGAGAATGACCAGAACTCAAGTATTCAAAAAGATTGAATCTTTCTACCTTTCTGTTGACCACCTTTTACATCATCAGCACCCCTTACGTTCCTTTTCAGCCATTTCTGTATTGCCTCATAGACGAGACCACCTGTGGCCAAACTGATCAAAGCAAAACCAGTGACTTTTAAAGTTTTCTGATAAAGAAAATTTCTTACATCAGAAATGTAATTGAATTTACTCTGCTAGTGAAGACTCACCTCACCCCCTCACCTCCACGTTCCTCCCCTGAAAATCATTTGATCCTTCTCCAAATCTTCCGACCCCCCTGGTGATAAATAATGATTGGTCCTGTCCCTAAGTATAGTCAGGAGTGGAAATAACTGGGAATGATAATAAAATAGCATCATACCAAGAGCAACATGGTGCCGAAGCAGGGAGTATTCTCTCTGGGTCTGAAACTTGACGGTATTCGTGGAATTACTTTAATTCAAGATCTCGGACTGACTCAAGATCCCTTCAGTGATGATTAATGACAAATATTCTCACGTCATCTTTTCTAGTTCTTCAAAAAACACTTATCTTGAGAATGACCAGAACTCAAGTATTCAAAAAGATTGAATCTTTCTACCTTTCTGTTGACCACCTTTTACATCATCAGCACCCCTTACGTTCCTTTTCAGCCATTTCTGTATTGCCTCATAGACGAGACCACCTGTGGCCAAACTGATCAAAGCAAAACCAGTGACTTTTAAAGTTTTCTGATAAAGAAAATTTCTTACATCAGAAAGTTTAATCGCTTCCATGGTCGGTATGGCTTCTGTAGAATGATCGAAAGTTCCCTACAACAAAAGAAAGCATAAATCATTCAAAAGGTTTCTAGAGAGTACAATCTTAGACGAATGCACGATCGATGGAACACTTCCATGGAGAACCCTTTTCAATCCAATCAACTGCATTTCTACGTTACGGCATTCCCTGTCTTCTTTGTACATTGGAACCTCGATTTAACGAAGTGCAAAGGGACTGGGGAAATTGGTTCATTATATCGAGGGCTCGTTATACAGTGGAACCTCGATTTAACGAACTTCTATATAACGAAGTCCTCGGTATAACGAAAGAGGCTCCAGTTTCAGCCCGGCTAAAGTTTCAGTTAAATTTATGGCACAGAACCTCGATATAATGAACCCTCGATATCACGAGCCAATTTCACCAATCCCTTTGCACTTCGTTAAATCGAGGCTCCACTGTATCGAGGTTCCGTGGCATACATTTTACTGTAAATTTAGCCGGGCTGAAACTGAAGTATCGTTCGTTTTACCGAGGACTTCGTCATATAGAGGTTCCTTAAATCGGGGTTCACTGTATCATCATCTATGAAAATGCCGTTCATTTTCCAAGATATATTTGTAAATGTCAAGATCCTCAGGTTGCTCCTTACTCGGAAACTCAACAATTACAAAGGTTGCGATGTGCGAGGCGATAGACAGTTCGAACTAAGCTTGCAGAATGATTAGCACACGTTTAATTACAGTTCAAAGTTCGTAGTCGCACAGATGATAGCAGAAAGTATCGCTAATAGCAGTCAAATGGTGGCCTGTAGCCTGCAGATCATTGATCCTCCGATCGCAGCGGTTGCGGGAATAACTAACTAGTACGGTTATTACGAGTTGCCTTTAAAAAACACGCGCATACATGATTGTATCTGGGGCGTCACTTGAAAGGTGTAAACCTACATTTTTGAAGTGTTACTTCATTTCCTAAAACACGAACTTAGCTTCAAGAAAGCATGAATCTGCAAATTCCTAATCAATGCGTGATACATTTGAGCACGTTTAATTGAAACTAGAGCGATCGATTGTTACTGGAAAACGTCGTAAAAGCAGGGGGCGTTTTTAAAACTAACAATATTTAAGGAAACAAATGGTCAAAGTATTAAGCACTTTGACTCGTTGTAACCAGTTTTCAAGGCACCAACTGTCTTACCTGGTCTACTTTTGTCTTTTCTAGTCTATTCTCTATCGGCGTGGTCTTCAAAAATTCCTTGAACGCTCCGAGATAATGTCCTGCTTCTCCGTTTAATTTAATTCCGTAATGAAACCTGTTTGGAACAATTACAATTTTATAAACTCTAAAGTGAGGGTCGTCCAAGTCCCTCAAAAAAGAGTTCACAGACATGAAGTCCATTAAAGCACCATCCAATGCTTTCGAGTTAAGGCCAGGTAGCAGAGCATCCGTTGCGTAGTA